TCGCATAGGCAGCAGGTCACATATGCTGTATTCTGCGCGTAATCCGTGTTAACACTCAGACAAACGGCATAAGGAATAATATTCGTTGATTGCCTTACTTTAAGGTTAATTCCTTTCTGGGGAGACTGCGCTTCTGGGACGCACCAGTACGCAGCTAAACAGCAATATCCACGGGATCGCTAATCGTTCGAGGCAGGCACAGACTATATTGTTTTTTTTGGAGGAGCCTCTATATTCCTTGCCCTGCTCTTTTGCACAAGGGAGTATGCTGTATTCTGAGTGTTGTTTGCCGGAATATTCACCATTATGCGAAAACCTTTTAAGATTCTCTGGATAGTTTGTCCCTTACTAGAATAATGAGCGGTCTCCTGATGTTGCTGTTTAGCAATACAGGAAGTTTTCACAACACAAGTGCGACGACTGCATTCCCCGGCAGTGGGTTGGTTTTTGAACAGTTCTATGTGCTGTAGTACTTCCACGACTTTTTCAGAATCGGCGAGGTCGATCTTCCGGACGCTATGCATGCTGCCGCTATTCCACTCAAAGCTAGACTTCGTGCAAGTTGTGCATCAGTTCTGTATGGCTATTGGTCTAGATGGCACTGCTAGAAGTTACAGAGGACGTGCCTGCTGGAAGTGACAGCGGCGCTGCTGCGAGGGAAGACTCAGAATGTTGTTGGGTGTCATTTGATGGGTGCGCGATCCTAATGGAAAGAAGTTTGCACTAATGTTAGAAGCATATTGGCAGGGATATGCGGGAGCCGGTTGCTCGTTGGCCAGGATGTAATACCATGGTTATAGCACTTTTACATGCAGTGGGTTTCGTGCGAATGGCGGATTTTCTTTTCAGCTCGCTCGTAGATCCTAATCGAAAGGAGTTTGCAGAAATGTCAGAAGTATATTGGCAGGTGTATGCGGGAGCCGGTTGCTCGTTGGCTATGACGTAATACCATGGTTATGGCACTGGTAGCTAGTAAACATGAAGGAGGTAAGACGCATTTACCCTATAATATAGTTCTCGATACGTGTTCGCAACTAACTCCGCCTCCTAGAGACGCATGTATCTGGGAATTGTTTGGTTACGCCTGCAGCCGCTGTCGGTATAATTGCATGTTGATGAGGTAGAAAAACAAAATGCGTAGGTGTCGCGTTTTCTGCGCGGAATGGCATTGTTGCTTGTAAGTTTATAAAAATGGTATGCTGATGCCAAACGATGAGCTGCTTCATTTGGCCGGTAGGATTTTACTTTTTAGCGGCCTTCGACTTCCATGACTGCTTGACATGTTACTTTCGGCTTTTCGATCTTGAGCGACAATTGTGACCAGAAGGAAAAGTACAGAAGGATTCTCGGTTTTTCGATTTTTTATGACATTTAATAACACAGTCATAAAGTAAAAGCGTGTGGCTTTTTGTTGGCTTTTCTGGAGCTTGCGTACCTCTATTAAAATTCGAGGGGAAACGCCACGTTGATAGAGGGAAGTCTACGGGATTATAACACCCGCAAACAGCCCATCTGTGCTTATCAGTAAAAGTAGTGCAACTGCATTGACCCTTAAAAACACAGAAAAGACGGAAGATCTTGTGGCTGCTGTCAACCAATCTAGAATGAGATACATCCCTATTAGAAAGACACATGAAAATAAGCTAAATTGTAGTATCTAATGCGAGCTGGAATTTTGCAGTAGACAAAAAAAAGAGAAATATGAACAATAACCAACATGTGTGATTGTGCGGCATTTGGTAGTCCTCATTACCCGTTTACCAGCAAGATATCTAGGAAGAAGAGCAACATAGAGTTTGAGGGAAGCGCACGATTACCCATATTGCCGCACCGTTATTGTCAGCGATATCTGAGCTAAAGGCTGTACAAACGGATATCCGCATGTTGGGATAGGCAACAATAGGTCTGGCACCCGTAGCGTGGTATAGCTCCTTTGTACCTTTTTGCAGGAAGCAGTGTAGCTTTCTGATCGGAAAGTCGTAGTCATCGAGAATACAATCATATTTGAGCAAACCCAAACAGCCTTCGCTTTATTCCATTTGCGTTAAGTCCCACTTTGGTGCCCTCCTCTGCCAGTGATCATTTGTGAAATCTGTACCTTTTGCGATAACAAGAGGCCGAAAATATGATACAGTTAACAGACTTCTAAATTACCTCTGGTTACCTCTGGTAATTACCTCTGGTGAAAACAAATTTCTGCATTCCAGACAAACTCACTAAATTGTGTTCTGACACGCAAGAAGCCCATCTACACGACAGACCACATATGTTCTTAGACAAAAGCTGAGGGCGACAGGCCATCCAGAAAGCCACCCGTATTAGTTTCTGCGAAGTTTAACGTTATTGCCAGTTTTCGCAAACAGTGCTCTATCTCCAAGAACCGTTTCATGAGGGCATCCCGCCTTGGTGTTTAATCGCGCCATTCACGCATTACCAATTGTAGAAACAACCATACACATCCCACGTTATGCTAATATATTATTTCGAGGATCAAGACACGCGGTAACGTAAGGCTTTTCCGGGTACGGGCAAACTATGCTAACATGCTTAGGACCTTTGCTTCTATTTGCAGATGCCGCAGACTGCCCATTCCATATTATACTGCTTACTAAAGGTGATGATATCGGGCGATATTAAAAATAGGCTTGCCCGTCACGCAGTCCGTATTTATTTTATTAACGCGATTTTCCATTTCCACGTGTTTTTCATTCCCCAGATCAAATACTGTAGGGAACTAGCCTTTCATAAACCCAACTGGACACGTCACTAGCTCTGTAACTCTCTCCGCTAACAGTTTCTCTGTAAAACGTAGGGCCAAAGCTGCTCATAGCTCTTTGGGTACCTCATTTGAGGAACAGTCTCTACACAATATATTTTATTACTCTAGGATGTTTACACTGCACACGTCTTTTTGTACCTGATTTTAGCAACAGTCCTTATGCAATATATTTTATTAAACTAGGAACAGTTTACACTGCACAGACTTTGGCAACAATGTTTCGTACATATCCGATATAATACGTTAGGAAATGTCAGCTTACGTGCCCTGATAGCTGTGACCTTCAATGTCGGTGGGCGTCAATGCTGAAAAAAAGCACTAAAAACCTGGCTTATGACCGCCTGACAAATTCAATATCAGCCGGAATATGCGTAGCCTACAAAGACCATATAACATATCAGTAGAAACCAGCACTGCGGTATCTAGAATAACTCGCAAATACAATGTGCGCAAAAACCCGTCGTTCGTATTAGGTGCTAGCAGCAATGACCGGCCCTATGATGTGTCAAAAACCACGAGTCTTAAAAAATTGGCCGACTTTTTACATCCTGGAACATCACGGGCGTCTATGAACTAACTGAGCGGAAATCATTTACGTTTAGAAGGATGGCGTGATACTAAAAAAAATAGTATGCAATCCTTCCTTCAAATCCCTGTAGCGTTCTAAATTGTTTAGAGGCAGCATACTGCACAACGAACAACTGTCACCGAATGGGGAATAGAAAGGTCGCCGATGAACAGTGTAGCAATGTACATATTCTGGTGTGTACAGATTTGTCCTCATTTTAGTGAATACGTAGTCCAAGGTGAACGCTATAAATATATTCGAAATTTTTGAACGTGCTACGCCTTGATGGTCTATCTGCGCTTTCCGGCCTATATCTTCCCCTTGTAGTCTTTCTATTTTTTGGGGCAAATACCTTAGCTGACCATACTGAAAGATAACGTGTTCTATAATCTGAAAAATTTTCCTAGCCAAGTTGAACGTGCTCCTGTAGTATTAACCGTCTCACAAACAGAAAGGCTAGGTTGGCAAGCGTAGGAAGAAGACACAAACAGCTGCGGTGGAGTTGACTGGCTTTTAACCTCCAGCGTATACGTACGTACGATTTTCCGACAGTGGTACGACTTCCTGAATACCACAACATATTAACAGCCCGTAAATACACGTGACCAGTTAAGTTCTTCAGCTTACGTTCGCCGGACGGCTAAATCGATTCGCAATGGCAGGTCCCCGATGTTCTTGACTTTTGTACATAATCGAACTGCCACAATTATGGCTTGCCCTGCAGGAAAATGTGGACATTACTCGCTAGCAAGCCTCTACCGCCACTATATTTCTTCGAAAGCCAGCAGCATAAACTGTGGTTAGCTGCTGGTTGCACTTTCACAGCAACTTCCCAGCATGCAATTGGATGTAACGGTTAGTCTTTTGCTGCGCGCTCGTCAAGGCATATCATCTGGAACTCCGCATTTTAGTTGGAAACAACGGGCATTGGCACGTTTCCCAGAGCTGAATTTTCCCTGGTTTCTGTCAAGTCTTAGCACTTCTTTAAGGCCACATGCGCCGCAGCGGCAAGCATCACGATGTTTACCGCTTATGAGGTAGATTCCCAGCAGGCCGGGTAGGCTACGCGCATAGGACAGGGCACGCATAATGGCTAAAAGAACACCTCAGTTAGCCATTATTAAAGACCCATTCTTAAAGAACACCTCAGTAAGTAGATTGCTGCCATGCTGGACACCTCAGCCCTCGTTAAGAGAGCACGCATTTCCTAGCATTCTGCTAAGGCGAGCAAGAAGGTATCGTTGTTGCATTGTACTTCCTGGCACTAGAATATCGGGATTTGGGTTTCCGAAACAGCAGCAACAGGGTTTGCCCATGAAGTCAAAGGAACACCTGTTATGTGTTGCGCATCGCCTGCTCCCAACCGGGACGGGTACACCCGGGGACGCCGCCCTCCGCAGACTTGGGCGGCTGAGGCAGTCTGATTTACTAGAACGCACATGTTACTGTTTCTTCTCAGCCATGGTAGTTAGCCTGCGCTCATCAAGTCATAGAAAGCCACACTAATTGCATCTATGCGTCTCATTTTCCTGTGTTCTGCTCCTCGTACCACCCAAATGAGGAACGGGGCTGCCCGCCAGACGCGTGCATGCGCTAGCGGGGCTGCGAAGGGACAGCCAGTTTGCAGTTGCCGACACTGCTCGTACTACCCAAATGAGGAACGGGGCTGCCCGCCAGACGCGTGCATGCGCTAACGGGGCTGCGGAGGGACAGCCAGTTTGCAGTTGCGGAGATAGTGAGTTTCGTTGTGAAGCCCGCGAAAATGCCAATACTGCCAATACTGCCACTGTAATTTTCAAACACCATATGTAGTGCATCCACTTCCTAGATCAGCTTCCCTTCTGTTCTAGGGTAAGCCGCAGTCAGCCGCAGTCATTGTACCGCCACTGTTGTCAGGCGGGTCAGCACGGGTGCCTGAAGAAGTCCTGATAACTGCTTCTCTATTCCAATGATTCTTGAGGGTCCACCTAGGCCTACACTGGTAGGCGTAGCCCTCCGTTTTGCGTTGGTGCCGTGAAGCAAGTATCTGTACAGATCGCAGAATATTGGCACTCTCTTAAGGACTGAGCAATACACAACTGTCAAGTCTTCGCTGCTCTGATCGCCCTCGCCCCCCCCCCCCCCCCCCCCCCCCCCC